CCGCCCATTACAGCAACTTACTGCCAATCAGCTGATCCTTAGTATCTCACAATACCTGCAATACAGGAACCTATGTGCAAGTAAGATGTTCCAACAAGAGCTGGAATACAGCAACTTGCACCACCACCCCCCCAAAAAAGGGATACTTTGTCATACTAGCATGTGCAGATCCATTACATGTACTGAATGTGACTGCCAGTTCTGACTCCCAGTATCACAAAGGCCATAGAATTCCACTGCACAAGCATGCCAGTCTCAATGTAAGGATTTCAATCAAAGCTTAAGCAAATGTCAGTTGCTCCAACAGTTTATCCTTAAATCCTTTTTTTTTTTTTTGAGTTGCTACTTTACAAAATACAGTCCTCAGCTAAGTATAAACTTTACCATCAAAGTGAAACCTCGGCCTCAATGAAGTCACCAGCAAAAATTACTAGTGCTTTTAATGAGCTCAGATCTGTATTTTGTTGTATGAGATTCACATGACAAAATGCAGACATATACATTCAGGTTAACCTGGATGATGATCTAGCTTCCCTCGATCACCAGTGAAGAAAACCAGACACTTTTAGACTCATCTTCTCCTGGAGAAGACACCTAAAATAGGTTGACTGAGTTATACCCAAAAATGCTTTTTTAACTCCTCAGGCTGAAACAAAGCTTTAAGTGACAAGATTGCAGATATCTAAAATAAGCTGAAAGAAACCCACACAGAGTTTTATTTTTGGTTTTCAGATGAAAACACAACTTGTGTAAATGGAACCAAGCATACCACATAATACAGACTGCTCTGTAGAAAAGACCACAATACATAGCTATTATTCATCACTCCTTCACCAGGAAGGCTCCAAACATTTAGATACCAGACAATGAGTTGGAAAGTTGGAAACATTAACTGTCCATACAACCAATGAGCGGAAACAAACTTTTCAAATAATTAGATCAGTTCCCAGGAGATCTCGTAAGATAAGCACATTTTTGATAGTGTGACAACTGATAATTGATCTTCCATTTGAATAAAGTTACTTCAGCTATTCTGTATATTTTCTGCACTGAATCATTATACTTCAGTAGCTCTTCACAGATTAAAAATGAACAGAACAGTAATAATTTTGCTTCTCTGCAGTTTCAACGTCCTAACTGTACTCTTTGCTCAGGATATACTCACTGATTTATTCAGCATCATCTCTTCCCTGATGCATCTTTGGTTCAATTACTTAAATAGGAACTATATCCTCACTGTGGATAACTTTCCCGTATTCCCCTCCAGCTTCAAAAATTTGTCTTCTAATTTTCCTCCTAATTTTCACCTTGCCTGCCAAAACTAACCTTCTATCTGTAATGTCTGAACTGGATTCCCAGGAACAGGAGGGGAAAATCTTGTGGCCTCCTATGCACTGTCATATTATCACAGTACATTTATTTCCTTGTCTTTTTGTCAACACTGCTTGTTCCTAACAATGGATATTGATTACGCAGACCTTAATTTCCTAATTTTTCCTTTCTTGCTGTTCCTAGTTAATTATCTTACATAAAACTATGTGTTGTATCTCCTACCACACCCTGAAGGAGAAGATCAGACTACCGACAGATGGAAATACTCAATAAGACACAAATAGTAGAGATACAATATAAAAAAATCTAGATCACAACAGTAATTCTGAAACTGAAAATTGTGAAATATGCAACTATCAGACAATGGCCACAGTTTTTCCAAAATAAATTAGAATTCTTATCCAGAGCTCCTTTAGACTTCAAATATATAGAAATAAAATTTATTAATTTTCTAAGGAAAAAAATGCTAAACATTGAAGCCAAATAACCAGTGGAAACCTTTCCAAGTTCTACCAAGACCACAACTTTTGCTGAACTCTATTCATCAGAATTGTGCTTGAGCAAATTTACCCCCTCTACAGTGACCATTTCCATCTTTCCCTTAGTGTTAAATATATAGTTTTACTTTATGTATCCATAGCAAATTTCATTTTCCAACTTATTGGTGTGCTTCTCCCATTTTCTAGATTAAATAACTTTAACAGCCTGGTTATCCTTCAGTTCAATGAAGAATATAAATTTAACATAATCTTTATTAGGCAGTGAACATTTTGGAGAGGAAACTCAATTTTTTTCTTATGCATAACCTCATGTCTTATAACCTACCTAATTTACTAAGACCTTTCTCTTGCTTCACCCTTCATCTTTACTGCCACTACACAACATGAACAAAGGCTCTTTCCCAAAGAGGACCAGCTAACATTCAAGGTCCCTTTCAACCTAGACATTTCTATGATTCAAAACATAGAAATCCTGCACAGTATTTCAAGAGGTAATTATTAATATTAGTATCTTGATAAACCATAGAGTTTGGCCTGGAATCATACTTCAGTATATTAAAAATTGTTTATTATTACATCTCAGTATATTAAAAGCTCTGTTTCAGTATGTTACAGGCTCTGAAGCCTTTTTTGTGTTGTGACACTTTTTCTATAGCTGATACTTCCTTCCAGAAGAAGGACTCAATAGCTTTTTACAAGATGTTCTTTTAAAATACACTCTGTAATGAAGACTCAATTCATTATTAAAAAAAAAAGTCACAATTGTTAAAAGCAATTTTGAATATAAACAGTAATCTGTTCTTACAAGTCGGGACTGAAGTATACAAACTCCACCATAGTGACAATTAAGTAACAACCTCTTAAGCATTGATACTAGCCTTCATTTTAAGAAATACTAGAATTTAAATTAAAGGAAAACTTAAAATGCTTCAGCTACCCTTCAGATGACTTACATACTATGCTTATAATTGGTACTTATCAAACAAATGGCAAGGTAATGATTCTAAAGATTATATGGATTCCAATTCACATCAAATCTGGTGTATCAGCAATGGGGTTGTAAAATTTTCTCTTTTTTTTTTTTAGTGGATTGAACAAGTTCTTTTATTGGTAACAGAACCATGTCTTGTTTCCAGCTTACTTCTGTCATTTGAACTCTCATGACTGTTCCTCATGACACTCTAAGGAACCAAGATGCTGCTTTAGTCCAGTCCTGTACTTGCACTGACTAGCCAAACAGAACATAAAGATCAGACTTCCACCTGCCAGTAAAAGTCATGTTTCATCTAGCCAGCCATCTGCTTTCACAAAACTTTTAAGAATCAAATACTTTTTTATATCTAGCCCTTTAAAATACAGCTGAAACCTGTGAGTGAACTTAAATCAGTCGAAATGACTACATCACAGACTAACAGACAGCGTGATTGTTTTAAGTGCCATTTCCTTCAGTAACCAGGCCAAAAGAATACTCATTTCAGACCCTGTACCAGAGTCTCTGGGGAAAAAAAAAAAAAACAAACAGTGTGCTGATGAAAAAGAAAAGGAATTGTTGCAGAAAAAGGTAACTGGAAAATATACCATGTCCATCTATTCAACAGTTTATAATATATAGAAAACATTGTTTTCAGTCAATTATAACCCAAGACTTCTTTTCATATTTATGTTAACAACATAAAAAGGAGTGAATTTCTATTGTTTATATCTTGATTAGTCAATAATCTGGAGGTCTAAAGCAGAATCAAACAAGCAGATAATTACTCAGTTCAGTTCACCCTGAGTTTAATGAACGGTTTTCATTTTCCAGAAGAAAGAAGTTTATTCTCCTTCAAGAGCACCAATCTATTTTACTTCCCATCACCAGTTTCAAAAAATTGCTCAGTATTTTAAGTTAGTTCCACAGCAGAAAAGTATACACTGAGTATAAAATTCTTATACACAACTTAGTCAGTAAATATCACTTCAAATTAATATTAACCTCAAAGTTTTCTTTATTTTTTTAATTAATATTTACCTCTAAGATAACTAAATCTTGTATCTTTTTCCACCCAAAAAAAAAAGTTTCCTTAATGTTAGTGAATCAATATGCAAAGAAGTATCATCCTTCCATGATGAAAATATATACATAAAAGATGCTGGAGCCTTTCCATTTCCTCCTGATTTATCACCAATATAGCTGTACACCTGAATGAGAACAAATGTAGGAAGAATAATTAAAAACCACTGGTAACTTAAGATCTGAAACCTTTCTGGAGGGACTTAATTTAATAGTATAGTATTTTTAAAAATCCTGTTCATGATTTATTTTATAAACACAAAAGTCTAAAATCTGTACTTACTTCAACATGCGTAAATAACGTTTGTTCAATGTTATCATTGTTTTTCTCCTTGAGATCTGGTGGGATGTTTCTATTTCTTACTTGGAAGTGTGTTTTACTAAGATAACCATCACCAAGGTCCTGTGTTCAGAAAACAAGAAAGAAAAAAAAATTCTGTAACCAAAATGCTAAATGCTATCACTGTTCTAGAAAATAAACAGAGCATGGCATTTAGGCATAAGCTCCAAGTCTTTTTATAGGCACCGATGACTGCATGCTTTTCAGCATCTTCTCACAGGTAGTTTACACTAGTTCTTGGTGTTAAAGGAAGTCAAAGACCTGAACAGTAAAAATAAAATTTAATATAGCTATTAATTGAATAAGACAACTGCTACCCAGGGATCAGGATGAGTGCCAAAGAACTGGAAGGCAGTGCACTAAGGTCATGAAGAGACGAACAGCTATTAACGATTTTGACCTATTTCAAGCAATGCATTCACATCAGTAAAAACTTTCCAGTTCTTGGTAGATTGGTTTATTTTTGCTCTGTTCCCCTCTAACTTTCTTAAAGTCCTGAAAAAAAAAAACAACACCTCAGAACTAATGTGTGCAGAGTCACAGTTTGTTCCCTTCTCTTGAGTATCTCTGAGGGTCAAATGTAAGAGAAAACAGACAAAGCTGTACCTTCTCACAGTTCCCTTTTTTATCATTCTGCCTCCCAGGCCACATGTTTACTCTTGTAAAAGGCCCTTGCGCAATTTCAGAGTGGCAGAAGAAGGTTTTAGGAACTTTCCCCCCTTGCTGACCTGACTATCTGCACACATATATAAACTTTTTTTTTTTTTTAATTAGAAGTAAGAGGAGAGAAAAAGTTTAATAACAGATCACTGGAAAAACGTACTCTCTGAAAGGGAGGAAGAGTATGCAGAACACAAAGAACAGTAGTTGCACGTTAAGAACTTATTTCTCAAAGGAAACAAATAAATTGGGGTTTTATTAGCTGTTTCATTACGTTTTATTTCAGACAAACACGGAAAGCATATGCGCAACATCTGACGAAAAAGGATTCTATTCAAAACAGTCTCTCTACAAAATTCATTAATGTAGCATTAAATTGCTCGACAAGGCTGCAAATTTAACTATAATTTAACTCTTTGGTTAATCTGTCATGGCTAACACAGTTTATTTCATGTATTTTGACGTTTAAATCAACACGGGTTTTATTCTGACACACCAGTTCTCTCTTTTCAAGGACACTGTAGAATATATGTACCTCCAAAATCTGCTACGGGCTATTTGTTTACTTTGTTCTTATCAAGTTTCACACCTGATAAAAAACGATAATGCTCTCTACATGTATTTTTGTCCTTAAATTTTTAAGCATGAACCACACTATGAGCAATTACCTCACTTGTAACTTCTACTGCACCCCTTATTTTCTCACTAAATCTCATCAAGAGCATCAATTCACCAAACTTTGCTAGATGTCCTCGATGCAGAACCAAGTGCATCCCATGCAATGAAGAAGCAAGCATGCAGAGGACAGAAAAATTAAGCCTAACTTGGTGATACAAAAGCCACTTCTCTCACTCTCAACACTGAAGTCTCTCCTTGTGGAGCTTCTTGCAAGTGTCAGTAGGAGTAAAGCTACCTGCATTGGTATTTATCCCCCTAAGAGCAGCGAAGAAAGTACTACAGCCACCCACAGAGGTAAAATGCCCCAAGGCACAACGAGCTTTGCCAGAGAAGGGTTGGATATAGCATTCACCTCCCTGAACCAGTTCTTCCTGTCAGCAGAAAGGGGCCAGCTCCGTAGCCTTTGCATCCTGTAGTATTTGAGTGCCATGAAAAATACCTATGGATAGCTGGAAACGTGGAGGTAGCAGTCTCTGTATTTCATAGCTGCATGTCAGAGACTGGAGGAGACACGGCAGGAAAGAGAAGCAACCGTTCTGTTGCATCCTCTGTAGTGTTATGTATTTTGTACACTTCTGCCCCTATAAATAAATCAATACTTTAGGAAGGACTTTGATCCCGTTAATGTGGAAAGGGAGTCCATTTCTACCCCAGCTGTCTTGTGAGTATCACAAGCAGAAGTGAACTGATACAGCCTTTGATATGACCACCTAGATTAACCTAACTAAGTATGAAACAAACATAAACCAGAACGCAAATGTGGGGCAGCCTTCATGACCAGGGTTTAACTATCCATCTCAACAGCACCCAAGTTTAGCTCCATCAAGTCCTACAGTAGAGGTGCCCTTGGCTTTTTTACAGCTTTCTTCTGGGAAAAAAAAACCTATTATAAAAATAACATAGTTTAGAACATTTCACTTGCAGCTATAAATACAGGGTTTTGCTTGGGCCATGTGAGCTTATGCCACAAGAGCCAGCTCCACAAAAACAATGAGTATTTCATCATCTAAATTTAATCTCTACAGAAAACACAGGAACACAAGAACACAGTTCTACAAGCCTGGTTTTACTTGTGTGGTCTTATTGCTATCAATGGCTTTATTCACGTGAGTATGGAATGAGGAACGGGATCCAAGTGCATTACATCAGCAAAATTAAGAGTGCCCCAAACTACCCACAACACATATATTGGTAAAAAAAGCAAAAAGACAATGAGACATCTTGTTAAGGAAAAGCTTCCTTCCCAGACTACATACTATAAATGGCTGGTCTCAATGGCCAGATTTTTATCACACACTGAAATCACAGAGTCGCCAACTAGGCCCATTAAAAAAAGAAAACTCCTAGAATTTTTTTATATGTGAGAACAAAAATCTATCTCATTTTGCTACTTCCAGCAAAGTTTCTTATTTCACAGAAAGTTCAAACTTTGACCCATGTATTAAATTCCCAATAGAGGCTCAGAGCATCTTTCTTTGTTGAATAAGTCCTCACAAATATAGCCTTGGACTGCAATCTAAAGTTTCAAATGGTTCCCTATAAGAAAGGGTGCATTGTAACACTTGGCTAATATTTGCGCTCTTTTAAAAACTTCTGAAGAGAATGCATCTAAGGTCATGCATCTAAGGTCTGCTTCTTACTGAAATTTGTTTCATCTGTGATGAAAGGGTTACAAATGCTATGTATAATCACTTATGTAGAAATGATGGCATACATTTATTCCGGGACTTCTAGCATTTCAAAATGGTACAAGCATGATATTTCTCCCCAAAATTCATGAAAGCATGGGAAACCACTAAAGCCATTAAAGTGGGGGGCAAAAAAAAAAAAAAAGGTTAGAGAAGTAAATTTTCTACAGCAGAAAGAAGAAATACACAGATACTGAGTATCCCAAACCATCCATTATTGAAATCAGGTCAGAGAAGCAAGAGAACATATGAAAAAACCTACATTGCCCACCCACCAAAAAAGTGTGGCAAAAAGAAATCCTAGTACAGGCTGGATTTATTATGAGAGGGAAAATAACAAAAGCATTCAAAGTAGAAAACACAAGTATTCAAAATATTTCTATTGTTATTATAGAACAAATACAAATTATGTAGCCATAAACCATAACTATTACGAAGTTTTCGTTTCAGCAGGGGTTAAGCAGGACATTAGCATGAAGTGGTTATCATTAGGTATTTTTACATCAGTACGTAAGAACTGCCAATTTTCTTTAAGTCTTCCAGCACTGTGGAAGTTTCAGAGAACTTTGAAGAAAGCCAGTATGTATCAATATATCTTTATATACTGGCTAATTTGTGTAACTATACACATATTAGCTTGACATCATCCCAAGCAAAGTAATAGAAGACGTCATATAGAATTCAGTAAATAAAGAAATATATACACAGAATGTAGTTATTTTTTAAGAAAAATAGATTTTGTCAGGGTAACTTAAAAAGACATGTTTGGTTGATAAACATAAAAGCTGTAACAATATATGCTCAGACTTCCATAAGATAACTGTTGATTCCACAAGCAGAAATTAAAAAATTAAAATAATCCCATACTAATCTAACATACACTAAAGGATGAAAAGATGATTAATTCACAGATCTCAAATGTAACTTGAAAATGGGGAATCGCCATAAAATAAGTGATTCTAATGGCGTCCTGTGAGACTAGTCTTGGCCCCGCGCTACTTAAAATTTTGATTAATGACCTAGAAACAATATGTAATTATTATTGGTGAGGTTTGAAAGTTAGGGGGAAGCAGCAAATTATGAGGACTGATCATTAATACAGACAGATTAGTCTGGTTGCTGTACGCAACTAACGTATTTTAATACAAAATATTAAGTCACACATCTAGAACAAAGACTATGTGCTATTTCAGCTTAAAGGGTTAAAGTGATCCTTGGATATATAACCACAAGCACTTGCCCGGAGTAGGAAGGTTTGAATTTCACAGTGAAACAACATTCACCGTCTAGTTTTGCCCACAGTTGAAAAAAGGATTTTTATATACTGGAAAGGACTCAGAGGAGATCCGCAAGAATGACTAAAATATTGGAAAACATGTCAAATAGTCAGGGAGCTCAGCATGTTTTGCTTTTACACTGACAAGGTTAAGGAATTAATTGATTTGAATCTAAAGTACCAAAACAGGGAGAGTTCTGATAAAAGTTCAGCTTAGTAAACAAGATACAGCTACCAATGGCTGGAAGATGAAGTTAGGTAGTTAAGACTAAAAGTAACGTTTGTTTGGGTTTTTTTTAAATTCAATTTTAAGCATAGCCAACCATTCAAAAGGCTTCTTGAGAGCTGTGACTGTTTCCCCATCACTGGGAATTCTGAAAATGAAGACTGCATAATGCCTTAAAAGACATTTTCTGAACAAAACAGAAATCATCTCAGCTAATCCTATCCCTTTGTTACACTACCAGTTGCACTAGACCATCCCAGCAGTTGTTTCTGGATTCGTGAACCCTATTCAACAGATGTACTGGCCAAAATCCTCATGTAAACCACTTATACTCTATTTTGTTCGTGGACCAGCTGTGTAAAATGCCATTTATTTCACATGATGTAAACCCCCCTTAAAGGACGTTCCAGCTTGTGGTGGTTGTCAACAGCTCAAAAAGGCCAGCAAGGGTATCTAAAAATTAACACTATGATTATTTTTACCTTGCTAGTTCTCCACTCCCAACCATCTCCTATCTGCTGTGAATGTTTAATAAATTCTTCACAGTACTGCTTGAATTTTTTTTCTTCCAAAAAGAAGTCCTCTTCAACTGCCATGCTACAGGACATCTGCAGAGTAAACTAAATGTTAGTACTGACAGATAAAATGAACACTAAAAACTTCCACTGATTCATACAATTGAATAGTAAAATAACAAAGCACTGGAAAAGAAACCTGTTTCTTTAAGTAAAACAACGACACGTTTCTCCAGGTACATTAGAAAATCATAGATACGCAGAAGGGCTGAGGTTGGAAGAGACCTCTGGAGACTGTTTAGTCCAATCCCCCTGCTCACAGTAGGGTCATCCAGAGCAGGTTGCTCAAGGATCATTTCCAGTTGGGTTTTGATTATCTCCACAGATGGAGATGCCACAACCTCTCTAGGGAACCTGTTCCAGTGTTCAATTACCACAGCAGTAAATAATTTTTCTTCTGTTTAAATGAAAAATATATATATATCAGTTTGTGCTCATTGCCTCTTGTGCTTTCACTGCGTAGTACTGCAAAAAGTCTGGCTTATCTTCTTTATTTCCTCCTATCAGGTATTTATACATATTAATAAGATCCCACTGACCTTTCTCTTCTCCAGGCTGAAGAGTCCCAGCTCTCTCAGCCTTGCCTCGTTTGTCAGACACCCTTAACCATCTTTGCATCCCTTCACTGGACTTGCTCCAGTATGGCATTGTCCTTCTGGTACTGGGGAGCCCAGAGCTGGCCTCAGTACTGCAGTTCTGACACACATTTCCTTAGCAGTATGGTCCGACTGGTGACCAGAAACCTGAATCCACTTGTGGGCTATTTCCACAGGCCTACCACCTTTTCCTTGGGGAACTGAACAGCTCCACAAAAGCTTAACAACTCTAGTGTTTGTAGACAGAGCCTATATGATGGCCACCAGAGTACAGCTGAAGTAACTGTTCCTGCTCATGCCAGCAGTACAGTTCTCAACAGCCCAACGAGGCTTCAGGGGGTTGCAGCGTCCTTCAAATGAGCACCTTCCCTACCCCTCGAATGCTCCCCTCCTGAGGTCTTAAAGATAACAGAAAAACTCTCTCAGAGAATCTAGCCAGTGTCACTTTTTTCCTCCCTTTCAAAGAGGATGTATCATAAATATGGCGGTTTCAATGTGTTTATAGACATCAGGCATCACTGCAGCACCACATACAAATACTCAGTAACTATTACAACCAGACCACCACCTTTTTTTTAACAAGAAATACAAAGGACACAGCACCTCATACTCATTATTTTTCAGGATCTGACCCTAAATCATATCATCCTCCTTTCTGCCCATGACATAAATCATTTATCTAGCACTTGAAAATATATTATTTTCAATGGCAGTTAACCCAAGCCACCATTAATCTGTTCGTGCTACCTGGATGGGGAAATGTGGAAAACAGGCACTGTAAATGTTTCTGCAGTTCCCAAATTTCTCAATCCAGACGACGGACTGCAAAACTGCAGTAAGTGCACGTAATGAGAGCTTAGTTCTCACGCAGGATTTAAACAGAGCTATGTGCTTTAGGAAATTAGCAGCTGTAAAGAGATACCAGGCTGCTGGCACTTGTGCCTTCCTTTCTTAAACCACCCCGAAAAGAGCGACGAGCGCATCCGAACACATCCGTCCCGCTCGGCCGGGGGCCCCGCAGGCACCAGGAAGGCCAGGCAAGCCCCCGGCCAGGCCGACTCCTTCTCCTCCTTGCCCACCCCGTCGGGACGGCTCCCCCGGCGGGGCCCTT